GGAAAACGCATAAATAATAACTCAGAATTCATGGCGTAGTCATGAACGCATGAAAAGCAAGATTTTGAATTTTTCTTGAGATTTCGAAAATATGAATTGAGGGGTTTTGGGGGATACTGATTCTGAATCTGATGGTGAATTAAGGTTTTTAAAATAAGCCTTATTATCCTTTTTCCGAATAAAGACCTTTTTGTACCCCTCAACATCGCACGCCAATGGTGAATGAAACTGATCACTTTGCTGAATACATCATTGCTCTGACATAAATGATATTATATACAGTGTGTTACAATTTGGGCCACTCCACCCCTGTACTTTTGTATTCCTAGGACGATTTGGAATTATTTTTTCTCACAGTATACTTCTGAAAATTATCAACTTTTTCGAGAAAACAGAAATTATCAATCACAGTTTCTTAATCTACTGCGATCACAAAAACTCTAGCAAATTTATAGAAAACGGATTAGGCATTTTTTTAGGCAATCGATTCGGACTAGTCACAAATACTCCTATATCAATTTTCAAAGCAATATCTCATACGGGGTGTTTTTTATCAACGTTACAATTTTTGAATAATTGCACTTTTCAAGTCACCAGGTAAAATAATTCCTAGCATTTGAATGATTTCCGGCATGATGGGTAGTCAGGACCAGATCATCATGGCTATACAGAGTGAGATAAATAAGTAATAAAATTACCGAAAATGTAGTTTTCTCATCAAGAAATAAATAGAAACTGAATGATATCTATCAAAAAATAACATCAAAAATTTGACAAAGAACAAAACAGCAATTATTCCAAAAAAGTTCAGGTTTTTCGTATTCTTGATCAAATCTCCTTCATTTTCTACACTCTTTGCATATCCCTTTCGTACGTTATTTTCAACTCTCCTCAGTTCTTCTAGTGGTATCTGTTCATTTGTCGCAACTAATCCCTATTTCTTGCAGAGTTGAAAATAACGTGCCAAAAGATATATGAAACGTATATAGAGAAAATATAAAATATCTGATTTTTTTTTACTAATAATCCATCTCACTCTGTAGCCAGACGATATAATCCTGACTACCATCTAGCGTGATATCATTCAAATTCAAAGGATTATTATATACGGACGGAGACATAAAAAATGCATCAATTATTAAAAAATTGTAACTTTGATAAAAAACAATCGAGAGTTCAAACTTGAACGATGGAAACTTTTTATTTCTATAGACCTTTCATCGCAGAATCGCGATTGGGTTTTCTCAATTCAGAATTTTCTTTCCACGCCCTGTATGATGAATACAGTGTCATTCATAGAGTCGGCATCATATGGGAAAAACTTTTATTATTAACTCACTTTGAAATTCGACTTTAATTCGATTTTAATTTTTTTTTAATTGTGCGAAATTTCTGTAATATTTGGAGGATTTTTAGTTCTACAAAACCACTTCATACCAGTAGCTTTTTCATGCTACTAACTTTCAATTTCTAATTATCACTAATTATGGACAGAAATATGATTTTCTTCAGAAAATGATAATCCGGGCCCCGCTTCCAAATTTTGTTATGTTTGATGCAAAGTTGGTATGTCGTCAAGCATATAAAAGCGAAATCCATTTAAATGGATTCTTTCAGTACTAAAAAGATGTCGAAGCCATCATTCAAAGAAATATGCTGTGCTTTCATTATTATTCTAACAATTTATGTCTCTGTAGCAAGTTCGGCTTTTCATGAAAGTTAGTAGCATGATGGAGCTACTTGTATGAAGTAGTTTTATCGAATTCACATTTTTTTTTAATTATTACAGAAATTTCGAAAAATTTAAAAACATTTCGAAATCTAAAAAGAAAGTTCAAATCCGCGTCACATATGTAAAATTGAAATAGAAACAACTTTTTGAAGTGAACTTTTTCGATATTCGAACAAATAAGCCTACTTTCAGCGATTAGTTTGAATAAATGTCACTTTTGACATGTAGCGACAGTCACGTGACCCTGATTGAGTAGGCCATTTTTTATTTTTTTCGAAGCAAAACTTAACGTCCAAATCAAATTTCAAAATAAGTCATTAATAAAAGTTTTTCCCATATGATGCCGACTGTATAAATTTGTCATACTCATTAAATGCTGCCACTACATAGAAACGAATGAAATTATCTCAAATTCGCCAGTGTATATCGTTAAATTTCTCCGTAATGAACCTATTGAGAGATTTATTGAAACAACTAAACAAACTTGATATTTTTGTCATCTGTATGGGATCCTATTTGACTTTATTGATGAAACCAGGGTCAGTTTCCAGTTTATTTCACAACAAACTGAATGACACACTATAAAACTATGTAATGGTTTCGTTGTATAAGAACTACACACATGTACCTACAGATGGTCTTGGCTATACCCATTTTATGGAAATCCTAAAATTGTTTTGAAAATCGTAAATACAATCGGAATGATCTTCCGAATCATCTGACATGCATCTGTCTGATACTTGTAGATCGACCTACAAAAATTAATACTACATATTCCCAACAAGTTCTGTCAGTTCAAATTATCCTCATCCTCAGTGGTGCCCGCGAGAGTCTCGTTTTCAAGAGTCTCGCATGGTCTCGTCTCGTTTTCGAGACGAGACTCGGACTAGACGAGACGAGACTTTTTTTGGTCTCGTCTCGAGTCTCGTGCAAGACTTCTCGTGTCTCGTGCGAGAGTCTCGCTGGTAAATATTTCTGCGTACCGACTGCAGACTCAGAAAGAATTCAGACTATTTCGCACAGATAGACAAAACATTTCATTCATAAATAATACTTTAGAAAAGTTTTTGTCTTCTTTATTTGTTTAGAATATACGTGTTACTTTTTATTTTATTTTTATTACTCTCGAACATATTATTATAATACTGTGTTTTTTTTTCTTGTTCAGATGAATGATGTAGGTATGTACCTATTAGGTACTTCCTTTTCAATAAATAATGTTATTTATATTGTCATTCTCTCTTCCTACTTCTACATTATACCTAAAAAGTAGGTAAAGGTGAATATCCCGTACTAGACTGGAACAAGATTATGCATGACGAAATTTCGATACATTTGCGAGACTATCGTACGAGACGCGAGACAAGACGAGACTCGAAGCTGCGAGACGAGACTCGAGACAAGACTTCATATTTTATCGGCGAGACGGGACGAGACTTTATGAAAGTCTCGTCTCGTTGGTCTCGTGTGAATCACTACTCATCCTATATTCTAGCATCACATTTACACAAAATCTTTTTTTTGTGTACATTACTGTTTATTCGCTATTGGATTGTGTGATCATTGACTATATCAACATTCATGTAATACTGCAGTTCCATGTTCCATGAATATTGCACTATATCAGAGAATAGGTCGAACAAAAACTTGTTCAGTATTCAAAAAGTTTTAATGCGAATAGTTAACATTTTTAATTGGCTTTGTTTTGTAGGATTTCTAAGAGTTTCTCGACAATTAGGAAGTATAAAAAGTATGTTGATATAAGACAAAAATTAGAGCTTTAGTAGGGGTGTTCAGAGTATTTCACTGTTGGAGGGTATTCGCCAAATTTCGGTCAGTAAAAAATATTCTGAAATAAGCAATCTGAGATTCAATGAATTATTGATATTCTATAGATACATTCGATATAAAATTTGTATTTTCTCCAACGGATGTCCCAGAGGTTTGAGGTTAGCAGATATCTGGGTTATTCAACATTTACTAAAAAATCAAAAAGTTGTAGAATATATGGGAGCAAAAGCTCTTCAAGGCAACGAAATCGAATTTCCCTTTCAGACGATCTACTAGCAATCACACCTTTCAGTTTTTCAAATTGCATCCACATGTTTTTTTTTTTTTTTTCGGTTGATCTCAGATAGAGATACAGGGTATTAATATTTCCATGAAAAACTTTGTGGTTCTGTTGATAGTGATGTGGAGCTTCTTCTAGTGCAATTAGATTCGAAATAATATATCCAGTGGCGTCACAGTGGGTAAATTCATCGATATTCATAGTGAATGTAATTGTACACCACCTGTTTTTCTGAGTTTCATATTTTTATCAGATTGAACTATTGAAATAACAACTTTTTTATCCT